CCCCCCGCCTTCCCCGTTTTCCACCATTTCCCCATCGGCTCAGGAAGCCTCGGCTTCGGTTGTGCTTCGAAGCGCCCGCGGCAAGCGACCGCCCGCAGATCGACCTGGCGCTGTCGCTGCTGACGGCGCAGCAGGCGCAGAGCAGATCCACGGAGTCGTTGATCGCCTTCCTGGCCAACAAGGCCAGATTTGAGCCACCGCCGGTTGGGTGGGCGGTCGGGGCGCTTATTGCGTGTGCTCGGAATTGGGGGGTGCGGGGGGGTGCTGGGGGTTCGGGCTGGGGTTGGGTATGAGGTGAGTTTGAAATGGTGTCACAGAAAATAGGCTTGCAGGGCAGAGGTGTCCTTAATTAAGTACACACTGGGGTCATTGTGACTGTTTCTGGTGGCCAGTCAATTCAGAAACTCGGGTACTCAGGGGAGTGGGCGGGGTATGGGTGGCTAACTCAGCAACATCTTTCTCCTTGGCTTAAGTTGATTTCAAAGTAGTCGCAACTCCATTCCGATCATGTAGGCCCTTGGAATAGGTTCTTTGGAAACAGTTTGCATTGGTTCAAGTTTGGTTCTAAGTCATGTCCAGCGAGGGAGCTTGCAGGTTGCAGCACAGGTTAGGTCTTAGTTGGTGTCAAATCCACCGGGTGAGTTGAGCCGCCCGCGTCAGGTGGTCAATACCCATGCTTACTGTTGATCGGGTTGACCGTTCATTCCCAGACCCTTTGGCATATTGCAAGTGAGTTAAGAGACAAGTTAATCTGGCGTGTTGTGCTGGACCATGAGCTGTCACCCCCGCTATGTGGGTGGGTGGGTGGGTGGGTGGGTGGGTGGGGTGGGGTGGGGTGGGGTGGGGTGGGGTGGGGTGGGGGGTGGGGTGGGGTGGGGTGGGTGGGGTGGGGTGGGGTGGGGTGGGGTGGGGTGGGGTGTGGGGTGTGGGGGTGGGGTGGGGTGGGGTGGGGTGGGGTGGGGTGGGGTGGGGTGGGGTGGGGTGGGGTGGGGGTGGGGTGGGGTGGGGTGGGGTGGGTGTGGGTGTGGGTGGGTGTGGGTGTGTGTGTGTGGGTATGAGTGTGTGGTGTGGGTGTGGGTGTGGGTGTGGGTGTGGGTGTGGGTGTGGGTGTGGGTGTGGGTGTGGGTGTGGGTGTGGGTGTGGGTGTGGGTGTGGGTGTGGGTGGGTGTGTGAGTGTGGATGTGTGAGTGTGGGTGTCAGTGTGGGTGTGCGCGTGTATGTGTTTGTGAGTCTTTGTTTTCAGGGTACCCTGTTCACCTTGGTTTACTTGGAAGCCACAATGAAAACCCCCGCGTACTTAAATGGAGCCTTGTAGGCAAAGCCAGTCATTGCGGTATTGCTCGCTGCCAAGAAGCCTTAAAAACAAGAAGTGAGTGAGCGCCAAGAAAGTCCAATGAACTCTTGCAGTTGTTTGGTCAAGACTCCGGCAAAAAACAACATGATCGGGATCGCTGAGTTTTACGTTCCAAGGCCTTCTTGACCTTGACGTTACGTGAACGCCGGCCTACAAGTCCATGCGCAGTCAGCAACTGGTTCTCGTGCAAAAACATCATGTTTGACGATCAGAATCTGCAGCTGGGTTGTGGGATCAAGGGGTTTATCCCCACTCCTGTGATAGGACACCTCCCTTTTCAATGAATAACAGCTTCACTGCTATGGGGCAGCGGATCTGACTTTAACATTTTGGAATCAAGTTGGGTTTTCCACATCCCCAAAAAGTGAAACTCACTTTCCAGTCATTTGGAAGGCCTCCCCGAACTTTCACAGCATGCCTCGGGCAGACGAGTGACGAGTGAGGGGATCCGAGCCGCACCTTGCCTTGGATAGAATTGCGGGGGCTTTGGAGCATGCTTGAACAGCAGCCAGCATGTAGGTGTGTGAAAGCCAAAGATCGCTGCAGGGCCTGCGGGTATTATTCAGGCGTCAAGGATAAACTCAGAGCCATCTCACGTGTTTGGTTCTGTGCAACTAGGTTCGGGCTCATGATTTCGCAGACCACTCTCCGGCCAGGCGGCCGAATTGCGGCTCTTGTCTCTGCAAGGCTGGCCAAGGGTCAGGCGGTCGCTCAGTGCGGTCCAAATCCTGTCGCTTAGTGCGGCGCAAATCCTGTCGCTTAGTGCGGCAGTCACTTTCACCTTCACGGGCCCGTTGAGCCCGTGTGGCCCGTTGAGCCCGTCGGGCCTGTTGGGCTGTTGGGACCGCTGGGCCCGTTGGGACCGTTGAGCCCGCTGTGCCCGTTGGGCCCGTGGGGCCTGCCCGTTCGGACCGCTGAGCCCCCTGCTCTGGCTCGTCTTGGCTCGCTTTACTTTTCTTTACAAGAACTTACATGTGTTTAGACACGTGCCAAAAGTGTGGTTTTACCTGCATCTCGGAAGGTTCGCGGAAGGCTCGCGGAAGGTTCGCGGAAGGGCGAGGCGGAAGACTGTTTTTGGAACAAGGCTCACGAATATATGTATGTTGTGTTATGTATGCTATTTTATGCTGTGCTGTGTTATGTTTTGTGATGTTATTATATCACATTATTTGTGTAGTGTTATGTATGTTTTGTAATGTAATGTGATGTATGCGTGTATGTATGTTGTGTATGTTATGTATGCAATGTACGTAAGTATGTATGTTGTATGTATGTATGCACGTATGTATGTATGTATGTATGTATGTATGTATGTATGTATGTATGTATGTATGTATGTATGTATGTAATGTATGTATGTATGTACGTGCGTACGTATGTATGTATGTATGTTGTGTTGCGTTGCGTTGTGTTGTGTTGCGTTGCGTTGCGTTGTGTTGTGTTGTGTATGTATGTATTTATGTACGTATATGATATGTGTATGTATGTATGTATGTTTGTATGCATGCATGCATTCATGTATGTGTGTATGTATGTATGTATGTATGTAATGTAATGTAACGTAACATAATGTAATGTAATGTAATGGTACCTTACGGTATGTTATGGTATGGTATGGTATGGTATGTTATGTTATGTATGTATGTAATGTATGTAGTGTGTAGTGTTGTGTATGTAACATAATGTAGTGTAATGCAACGTCGTGTATGTGTGTATGTATGTTATGTATGCTATGTACGTATGTATGTATGTTATGTGAGTATGTATGTAATGTATGTATGCGTGTGTACGTGTATGTATGTATGTATGTTATGTTATGTTATGTTATGTCCCCTGCTCTGGCTCTTCGTCTTGGCTCGCTTTACTTTTCCTTTCCAAGCATTTACATGTGTTTAGACACGTGCCAAAAAGTGTGGTTTTACCTGCATCGCGGAAGTTCGCGGAAGGTTCGCGGAAGAGCGAGGCGGAAGACTCTTTTTGGAACAATGAATATGGGGTAAACTTCATGTATATATGTATGTTATGTTATGTTATGTTTTTTTACGCTGCGCTATGTTATGTTATGTTTTGTTATGTTATTACGTGTGTAGTGTTATGTATGTTTTGTAATGTAATGTAATGTGACGTAATGTAGTGCAATGTGATGTATGCCTGTATGTATGTTATGTATGTTATGTATGCTATGTACGTAAGTATGTAGGTTATGTATGTATGTATATAATATTTATATATATATATATATATATATGTATGTATGTATGTATGAATGTATGTATGTATGTATGTATGTGTTTAATATATGTAATATGTGTAATTTATGTATGCATGTATGTTTGTAATGTGTGTATGTTATGTTATGTTTTGTTTATGTTTTGTTATGTTATGTTATGTGGGTAATGCGATGTATGTAGTGTATGTATGTAATGTAATGTAGCGCAACGTAGGCCCGCTGAGCCCGTTGGGCTCGTCGGGCCCGTCGGGCCCATTGGGCCTGTTGGGCTTGTTGGGCCCGCCGGGGTCGTTGGGACCGCTGGGCCCGTTCGGCCCGTTGAGCCCGTTGAGCCCGTTGGGCCCGTTGAGCCCGTTTGGCCTGTTGGGCGCGTTGGGCCCGTTGAGTTCGTTGGGCCCATTGAGCGCGTTGGGCGTGTTGAGCCCATGGAGCGCGTTGGGCCCGTTGATTTTATTGAACTGACCGGTTTAACACCTGGGTTCTGACTGCACTAAGTGACGGGTTTTTTGCTGCACCAAGTGACCTGTTTAACACTTGGGTTCTGACTGCACTAAGTGACGGAATTTTTGCTGCACTAAGTGACCTGCTGACCCTGGCCAAGGGGAAGGTGCTGATTTGATGTTTGCCACGGTCAAGCCGACGGTCAAGCTTTTCCCACCAGCATTCGCTGTAGCAAATGGCATGAGGTGCATGCACCTAGACACACGGCAAATTGCGGTGAGAAAGCAGGGGTGTGAACGCCCCAGCGAATCTAGCGCCGGTGAACTGGACAATGAACAATGACTGTGGCTCACGTTGCGATTCATCCCCAGTTGCCCAGTGGTGCCCTTTTTCAGCTTTTTTTGGGGAAGGGTCCCGATTCCTTTAAGGTCAACCAACCAAAAACGAAGATGCCCTTCTTTTCCCATGGTTACTGGGCATTTGAGCATCAATTCATGTGTCATGTGGCATCCATGAGTACCGCCTCAGACGCATCTTGTCCCTTGGTATGGCCCCGGAAAGGTATAGAGCATTCGAGCATTGCCCAAGTAAAGCAGAAGCGAACCAACTGCAAGACTCTGTAAGCTACAGCTTCTCCCTTGTTTCTTACCTGCAGCATATAGGACACCGATCTTTAAAACAACTGATTTGAAAGACATTCGGTCATCGCAGCTCTCAGACATGCGGCGCAGCTTTCTCGAGGTGCAGAATTTGCTGAATACTTCTTTGCGACCATGGCGAAAGAGATCAAAACAGGAGAACAGACTTTGAATCTAGTGGCCAGCCAGTCCCAGGCAATCCGAGCTCTGTTGATCTCGCAGCCGTTCCAAAGCTTTCCCCACCCGCGGGATGCGCGACGCAAGCCATCGGGAGCCGCCAAGCGGCGGCGTTTCCGGCGGCACCATGGAGGCGGCACTGAGGGGGCTCAAGCTGGCCATGGATGAAGAAATCGGGCGCCAGATTGGTCTGGCGGTGCAGCGATACGAGGCCACTCGCAATCGAACTGGGTCAAACATTTGGCAACAACAGCTGTTTAGTCCAACGTTTAAGTGCTTGGTGGACGGGAATCCCCGACTAAATGAAGTCCACCAAAGGGTCCCTTATTCACAATCATGCCCATGCTGATCGTCCAAACGGGACGCATGATAATGGAATCAACCCCGAAAAGGCGTCTACTTCTTTGTCCACTAGGGTTACTGGGCAACTGGGTAGAAATGAATGGGTCTTAAATGGAGAAGCCTTTCGGAACGGGTCTGGTATTTTGCTTCTCGGCAAATCTACAAATGCCCAGAGGTCCATATGTGTCCCTTGTTGCAAAGAAAAACAACACATACACACGGTTTTTTGTGTTTTAAGCAACAAGGATCTCATTAAATGGTGGTGCCATCAATTGGCCATGCCTTGTTGTGCATGTTTCTGACACCCCTCCACATGGTGTTGGTTTCCTTGACCGTTTTCCAGTGATTCGCTTGCAAACTGAAGAGCCAGCACGCATTCTTAGTCCGAAAGGCCACTTGGCAAAGAAATCATAGCAGGAGTCAATCTTCCAAACCTGTCTTCACTTTCCAGACAGTGCATATAGCCCATACCCACACGTATCGCCAATCCCAAGAGACTCCCTAAGAAAGAACGAGGAAAGATAAGACACACTTCAAAACAAAGGCTAAACCTGGCCTGGAAGTGAGTGCGGGGATTTGAGGTCTGTTTTTTGTTATTGATTTTTTTGCTACAGGTTTGGGGATGGTCACACCCTTTTGGGTGACCTTCACCACCCCCCTTTGGCTTGGGGTCTCTTCGGCAGGTTTTTGGGGACCTCATTTGGTTCCCCCATTTGGTGTGTTATTTTTCTGACTTGAAGGCTAGTTTTTTGTCATGGGGTAACAGATCTCATGCAAAAAGATGTGTTTCTCCCCAGCCCGATTTGGTTTTGACGTGTCGCCTTCGCCCCCTCCGTGCCTTGGTGGTTTGCCCCGAGGATCGCCTGACCTGCGTTCAGCAGGAATTGGAGAGGTACAAAGGGGAGAATTCAGAGTTGCGCTCCAGGCGCCCAGCTGCACCACTTTTTGGCCTAGGTCCCCCAGCTAGGTGCCCTTTTGCCTTTTTTTTTGGGAGGAAGGGGGGCGGGGGAAAGCAGGGGACGGGGGGTGGGGGCAGGGCGCCCTACTAGAATAGACGACAAAAAGAAAGTGGGTGCCCCTTATTTTAACCTCTCCACTGGAGGACCTAGTGGCATTTTTCCATGGGCTCTGCAACTACTTTAGAGCGAGCCCAGCGATTCGGGGGGAATAGCCGCGACAAAGGTCCTTCACTTGGGGACGCGATTTGTGATTCAGCTTTTGGAATTCTGCTTGATGTTTTGAGATGGTTTGATCAACTCACGCCCTAATGGGCTTCAGTCACTGTTTGGGTTTGGCCCATTTTAGTGGTAAACAGAAAGTTCGGACTTGTTTCGCCCAGTATCAGGAAGTGAGTCAAAAGGTTTTCTTAGATGGGATAACCCATCAAGAAAACCCTGTAAAACATTTAACGCACAAAGATGATATGTGGCACTAAATGGGAACGGTGTCCCATGGTCATTTGGGGGCTAGGAACATGGGTCAACCCCCCTTTTTTTAAACTTAGATAGTTGTTGGTGTCATCACACTTTGTGAATAGCTGACAATATGTGCACCAAACACCGATGAGGGACCAAACGAAAAATACCCTGGCAACATTGATGGTCTCATGTGAATATGTTTTTGTTTAATCGCGAGTGCTTTCGCTTGGACGTTCTTGGATGCTGCCCCATCTCGCCAATCAGAATCTCCAATTGGGTTTGAGCGGCATGAATCATCATGCAACAGCTTCCTCATCCCGTGCATCCAACAGCACTGTCCATTTCGCACATGCTTAACAAGTATGGTGGGATTCGGGTGCAGTGTTACTGTAAATATACATTGCGGCATATTGCAGCACATGTTTTTCTTCGTTCACCCCCTGCGTTAGACAACAGTGTGAATATTTATCGGGATTCACTTTGGGTAGTTAAAAGGAGCTCTAAAGGAAATCCATCAATTGTGGGTGTTTCCCTTTGAAGGGAAGCCAAACCAGGACCGCAAAGTCGTAGCGGTCCATGTTCCCTGGGCTACTGGTGCACATCCAGAGCTGCATTTTCAGCTGTGGTTTTGTCCAGGCGATGAGTGGAAAAATCGCCCCTGCATATCAGCATATTTCAAGCAAAACTGCCTGACATTCCAAATTGAGGTCATTTGAGGTGGTGCAACCAAGCAAAGACGCAAGCAACCGCCTAACCACCTTCCCAAGCCACCCACTCATGTTAGGCGTCCTTGCATCCCCGTGTAAACATCACCCCACCAAAGGGGCGCTTTACCGCACAAAGGCTGAAAACCGTCACGAAGAAGCTGGAAGAAGCCGTGAGAGAAAAGGAGCGCATGGCAGAGGCGGAGGCGGCAAGGATAAAGGCAGAGGAGGAGACCAAGCTGCAGGAGAAGATAAAGGCGGAGAAGAAGGAGCAGGAGCACAAGGAGACAAAGTTGGCAGAGGAGGCCAAGATAGAGGCTGAGGAGGGAGCCAGGACAAAGGCAGCACAGCTGGCAGAGGAGGCCAAGATAGAGGCTGAGGAGGGAGCCAGGACAAAGGCAGAGCAGGAGACAGACACAAAGACGGAGGAGGAGAGCAGGAAAGAAGAGCAGAAGGATTCGCCAAGTCCGCCGACGCGCGTGGTGCCAGAGCATTTCAAGCAACAACTGCGTGAGATGCAGCAAGCGGAGGAGCACAAGCAGAAAACGGAGGAGAAGGAGGGGGGGGCGACAAAGCTGGAAGAGGAGCCCAAGACGGAGGCTGAAGAGGAGGCAGAGACAAAGACAGAGATAAAGACAGAGGCGGAGGGCAAGAAAGAGGAGCAGAAGGATCCGTCAAGTCCGCCGATGCGCGTCGCACCTGATCATTTGAAGCAGCAACTGCGCGAAATGCAGAAGGTGGAGCCAGAGAAGGAGGTGTTGCCGGCGGCGGATCAACAGCCCAGGCCGCAGGCGATGGAAGAGCCCAAGAAGAAGGAGGAGGAGCACGAGCAGAAGGCGGAAGAGAAGGAGGAGGGGGAGACAAAGCTGGAAGAGGAGCTCAAGGCAGAGGCAGAGTCAAAGACGGAGGAGGAGGGCAAGAAGGAGGAGCAGAAGGATCCGCCAAGTCCGCCGATGCGCGTCGCACCTGATCATTTGAAGCAGCAACTGCGCGAAATGCAGAAGGTGGAGCCAGAGAAGGAGGTGTTGCCGGCGGCGGATCAACAGCCCAGGCCGCAGGCGATGGAAGAGCCCAAGAAGAAGGAGGAGGAGCACGAGCAGAAGGCGGAAGAGAAGGAGGAGGGGGAGACAAAGCTGGAAGAGGAGCTCAAGGCAGAGGCAGAGTCAAAGACGGAGGAGGAGGGCAAGAAGGAGGAGCAGAAGGATCCGCCAAGTCCGCCGATGCGCGCCGCACCTGAGCATTTGAAGCAACAGCTGCGTGAAATGCAGAAGGTGGAGGCAGAGAAGGAGGTGTTGCCGGCGGCGGAGGAACAGCCCAAGACGCAGGCGATGGAGGAGCCCAAGAAGAAGGAGGAGGAGCACGAGCAGAAGGGGGAGACAAAGCTGGAAGAGGAGCTCAAGGCAGAGGCAGAGTCAAAGACGGAGGAGGAG